AAAGAACAGTGACAAATTGAAGTGAGTTCAAAGGGGGATACCAAGATGTGAGCGGTCTGGAATCAAGCTTTATGAAGAAACATATATCTATTTTGCTCACAGGAGACAACAGTGGAAAGATAGGATAGCAGTCTTCAAATATTTAAAAGGTTATCAAAGATGTGCATATTTTTTACCACCTCAGAGAACAGGACCAGAAGCAGTGGATTAAAACTACACTGAGAAAGCTTCAAGGTTAGGGTTAATCAGGAGGAATTTCCTGACTGTACAAGCTGTCAGTCATTGAACTGGATTGCTACATAAAGTGGTGAATGGCCATTTGTTGGAAGTCTGCAAACACAAGCAGGATAGTCATATATGCCAGAGAAGTTGTAGAGGATACAGCACTGAAAAGAGGGTGGATTGCAAAGGTAGCACACTATCAGATATAAAAGATTGCTAAACATGCCTATGGACAGGAATCTTCTCAACTAATGATTAGCATAGATCAGGGAACTTGAAACTTGACAGCTTTAAGACTTGTGGACTTCAAGCCCCAGAATTCCTCCTCCAGTCATGTTAGCTCAGGAATTCTGGGAGTTGAAGTCCACAAGCCTTAAACTTGTCAAGTTTGAAGACCCTAGACATAGATTGGTAACAGTTAACAGAATTCAAGGAAGGTTGGACACTTGCGGCTATGTAGGGATTTTAGACTGATTGCTCTTTTAACTCCATCCCCACATTCTGTTGCTCCTGTTCCTATACACACCCTTTTTTAAATCTTATATCAAAAATCAGTTCAAATCATCTAAAAAACATCATCACATGGGTATGCACAAAATAAACAAATGCTTTGTTCCAAACTCAGAACAAAACCACCCTATTCAGAATGTTCCATTAGAACATTTCATATTTCATGTATCAAATGTTTAGAAAGAATGAAACTCAAAATATTTTGTTCTCCCAAGGGAACAATGGAAAATTGAGATAAGGTACTTACCCCATAGTTTTTGTAAGGGCTAGCAAATTAGACAGTCTTACAGCCCATGCTACTGCTTACTATCCAACCTATATAAAATTGCCAAAGGTAATGATTAAAAAAAAAAATTCCACAGCACACAAAGGAAGCAATACGTAAGTTCACTTTTTGTGGCTTTTGCTATGTTAAAGCTGGTCACAGAATTGAACCTAGCAAATAACAGCAATGGATTCATTTGAACAGATATGTAAGAGCCCCCAAAATTCATTTCTTTGCATAGTTGTAGAGAATCATAGAGACAACCTTGTAGATAGAATGCATCGGTTAGAGCAAAGAGGAGCTAAACCCAGGAAAGGAAGAAAATATTAAGAATTTAAATTGGCTCTGTCTTAACTATCTTTGGCAAAGGAGGGAGGGAAAGGAAAACGCTGTCAGGTTTTTATGATTCTATTTCTATAGCTTATATCAATAAAGTTGAGTTGTAGTATTTTATCTGGAATTTGTTTTCCAGATAAAATAAATGACAAGTGTTCTGCACATATTTTAGGGATACAGAACTGGGTGATATAATTACATAGAACAGAGAGGTCAAACACAGGGCCTGTAGGCCCAGAGTTGTCCCATGGGGCCGTCCCAGAGATGGCGAGGGACCAGCCCCTGCCCCCCCCCCAAACCACGGCCCCCAGTCAGCCGTGATGACCAGGGCATGCCCACCCCGGCACCGCAAGGGCAAACAAAATCCTGATATGGCCCGCAATGGGATCGAGTTTCATACCCCTGATATAGAACTAGACAATCTGTTTTCGTTATTGTCATAAGAGATATTTCCTTACTTGATTCCTCAATGCCTTCTACAATGGCAGAGCTTCTAATATACTTGAAAAGTTTTTTAAAAACTCAGGGAAATATTGAGAGATTTATCTGCCTTGAAACTTACCCACGCTGAACTGTCTAGCACAGGGGTGTTAAAGTGGATTTCTTCGAGGGCCGGATCAGCATTGTAGTGCTCCACTGCAGGCCAGTGGCAGGGGTGGGGGGGTTGAGACAGATGCCTCCTGCAGCACCCTGCTGGCCAAAACAGGGCGCAGGGGTCCACGTGCAGCCCCCTTGCCCCTCGTTTTCGCCCTCCATGGCCTCTGCCAGCACTCTGCCGGCTGAAAACAGGCCACATGGCCCATTTTTAACCCATTTTTCAGCCCGTTTTCAGATGGCAGAGTGCTGCAGTAGGCCATGGAGGGTGAAAACGAGGCACGGGGGCCCCTGAACGCAGCCTGTTTTAGCTGCCAGAGGCACCGCAGGCCAATCCCTTGATATTTCCATGCTGGCCCCGCGAGCCGAATTTCAGTACATCAAGGGCCAGATGAGTTTAACATCCCTGGTCTAGCAGAATCAAGCATCAAGCACTGACCACAGGAAATATTTTGAAACATTTTGTATTATGCTACAAATTGCTTTATAAAATTTGTTAAATTACAATTCCATTGGAGTCATGGGATCCAGGATTTATATGTATTTTTTAGCCTCAAATTTTAGCCCATTTGAGATTTCTTGGTTCAAAAGGTGTTGCCCTACAATACAATATTTCACCCAATTTAAGAGTATAGAGATGTTATCTTAAACTTCTAGTCTCCAACTATGGAAACATTGAAATTAATTACAGATTTTCTATGCCCTTTATATAGATTCATACAGTACACCTTATCAGATTTTAACAATATGAGGATTTTATTTCAAAGCTGTTTTGAGTTCCTGTAACTCTATTGAATTCTACTGTATAGCATAGTGCAATATTAATGCAATATCATGAGTTTTCAATTCAATGTATAGAATGTGAAGGTTGTCTGTGTTTATTTTCATAATCATAATGTACACTGAAGATGGTATTTAATTTTGTTGTACGAGGTGCAATGACAATAAAGTAAACTAAAATGAGCAAAATGTAGAACATCAATCTAAGAAGCAAATAAAAATAGCCATTGTTTCTTATAAAAATAGACTTGCAAAGTATTTTTACTGAAGTCTAATCTTGTAGGATATTAAAAATATTTTCATTTAGGAACATGCTTCACCACTCCTAAAAATCACTGATATGTTTTTACAGAAAAACAGGATGATATATGTTCAACCACTGTATGTGTTTATAACAAAATGGCATTATACAGACAGCATATAAACCATCAATAAAGCTAAGGCTAACTTCTGAATACTTTGTATGAACAAGCCTAAATTCAACTGTGATTTAAAAGAAGCATTAATATTTAGAATTGGGGGGGGGGGGGGGAGATCTGCTTGAAGTTTCCATGTTACAAAAAACACTGTATTTTATTTTTGATATCAAAGATTAAAGCTCCTCTATATCCTCATGTGTGTGTGTGTGTGTAAAATTTAGATTTTTCAGCAGAAACAAAGAACTAGGACTTTTATGACAATTTTCACAAATCTTAAATATGTAACTATTAATTTTTTTAGCTTTGCTTGTGCCTCAGAGCTGCTTTTTGCGAGATGGGTGGCTATATAAATTGGTTGAATGAATAAACAACTTATATGCACAGATTGACATTGGAGGAAGTTAATGTTTCCCTATCTTTTCATTACTGATGTAGGCATGGATATTGTTTATTGATAATACAAAGCTGCTAAATATATTGTTTCATTATTAACTGAATAACAGAACAAGTGATGAATCCAAATAGCTTGCAAACAAGTGCAAAAAGCTTTCTTGGTCAAAATTACTCCATCTAGATTAGCCCTATCTACACTGACAGTAGTTATTCAAGACTAGAACTCTTTGTTAAAATAGCCAATGGAAGACAGAACCTGGGATTTTCCCTACCCAATGCAAATCTTCTGCCAATGAGCTACAGTTCTTTACTGCATATGTAACCTCTCTGATTAAGAGTTGTTTACTAAAATGAAGTTTATGTGACATTTCATGTTATCAACAAGACTGGAAACACAAAAGTGTATTTTACCCAGAATTAATTACAAATCGCTGCCAATTACTTGATGAGATGGATGGCATATAGATTTAATAAATAAATTAAATTAAATGAGTTTTTTACATGCCAAAAGGATTAAAACGAAGTTTGCATCAACTGCAGAAATAAGAGGTATAAAATGACTATTTTTAAAACCAGGAATCAAATTGATTCACAGTAATTTCAGATGGGGAACAAAATCTTTACTTGCTTGATTTATTATGAAATAACTAGAAGGCATGTCATCTGGATTTTTAACATTCTTATATAGTCACAAAACATCACTTTAACTATAGTGCAAATTTATAATGACACATATAAAAATATTCAGATGTAGTCTTAATGTCATGGAAGTAATGGGCTGCCCTGCCAGATCATTCTGATAATGTGATTGATCACCATGATACAGTAGAAAATTGGGGGGGGGGAGGGAGGGGTGTTGAAAAACTTTGGTATTAATGTCTCTCCAGCAACTACTTCAACCAAGCTAGCCTTTGGTTTATTGGAAAACAATGAGAAATATGGGTGTATCTTGACACAAGATCAGCCATTTGAACATATGCTAAGAGATCTTTTCTAGTCTTGAAAGCAAATGTGCCTTTTCTACCACAAAGATTGGTCTTCATCCAGTGAGCCACAGTTACCCTTTTCTCCAGAGGAAGATGGAATATTTATCAAGCAACAGCTGTTTTCCCATCCCAACTGTCAGATCACGGAAATAGAGGCGGGGTTTTAATCATTTACAGTTCAAAAACTCGTTTTAGTACAAGGATTTGAGGGCGGCGCGAGGAGAGGAGGGGGGGGGGAGGAAAGAGTTCCTTGTATCTTATTGCGGTCTTCTCAACCATCCAGAACGGCTGGACTACAACTCCCATCACCTGCACCTGACACGGAGGCTAAGGACGGTGGGAACTGAAAACCCAACAGCTTCAGAGGCCACTGCCTGGAGGAGAGACCGCCTAACAGTGACGAAGGAGCTCAAAGAGAGAGAAAAGTCAACTTGGTGCCACCCGTCCCGTCCGTCCCCCGTCCCCCCCCCCCGCGCCCAGCCCAACCCCGCGTACCGTCCTGGCGGCCTCTGCCCAGGTCCTGCCCTTCTTCTTGCGGCCCTTTTCCCTCATGGCAGCTGGGTACTGGCAAGAGCCGAACAACCGATGGAATAAATGAATGAATGAAGGCACGAGGGGAGGGGGCGTGTCCGAGGCCGGTGCGGGGTCTCTGCCGTGGGAGGAGGGGAGAGAAGGAAGGTTTGGCTTCTGCTGCTACTTAAATCCTGAGTCTTGCAACGCCCGCAGCTACCCCAGCCGCCATGTTGGGAAGCCTACAGTAATCACGTGACAGTGCCTCCACCTCTTTCTCCCCCCCCCCCCTTTCAGCCTGCCCGCCAACTGACCGCGTAATCCCGCCCACTGCCAAGTGCAGGAAACGGGGCGGAGGTGGAGCCAAAGGGAATTCGTGACAGGCGGCTCCTCCCTGCAATGGGGAAAGAAAGGAGTTGCGGAAGAGATGCGCATGCGTCGTTCTAGGTGACGGGAAAAACGCCATAGTCGTGGCCTTCCACCCAGTGTCGTAGGTTTGGATTGCCTGGGGCTGTTTTCTAATATTACGCATGCGCACCGTCCTTTTACCATCTGGGGAGGCCTCATTACACACGGACGCTCAGTGGGAGACTGAGTGCGGAGTCTCTGGGTGTTTATGTGTGAGCTCTCTACTCCGGTCTCTTCAGTGCCCGGCCTTTCTCCTGTTGGTGGCAGAAATGAGGCTCTTCGATATTGGCTACGCTCCGGTTGCTATGCTGTCCGTATCGACTCAGTATCAACTCAGCCATTTCTCGCGGAGTTATGTCCGCATAAGGCACTCAGGGCATCACTGAACCGTGGAATAAGGAATGAAATAGAAAAGAATAGAAATAGGAAGAGAAGAGAAGAGAAGAGAATATTGGCCAAGTGTGATTGGACACACAAGGAATTTGTCTTGATGCAAATACTCTCAGTATACATAACAGAAAAGGTACATTCGTCAAGAATCAAGGTACAACACTTAATGATAGTCACAGGGTACAATAAGCAATCAAATCACACTAGGAAATGAATAGAATATTGTGGATAGAATAAAATAATAGAATAGAGAAATTGTTATTGAGAGTAGAATAGAACAGAACAGAATAGAATTAAACCTCAGAGGTCTTCTAGTCCAACCCTCTGCTCAGGCAGGAAAAGTATGATTGTCCAGTCTCTTCTTAATAACATCCAGTCTTGGAGCATTCACAACTTCTGGAGGAAAGTTGTTCCACTGATTAATTTGTTCTAACTATTAGGAAATTTCTCCTTAGTTTTAGGTTGCTTCTCTCCTTGATTAGTTTCCATTCATTGCTTCTTGTCCTGCCTTCTGGTACTTTGGAGAATAGCTTGACTCCCTCTTCTTGGTGGCAGCCCCTGAAATATTGGAATCATGTCACCCCAGTCCTTCTTTTCATTAGACTAGACATATCCAGGTCCAGCAACTGTTCTTTATATGTTTTAGCCTCCAGTCCCCTAATCATCTTTCTTGCTCTTCTCTGCACTCTTTCTAGAGTCTCAACATCTCTTTTATATAGTGGTGACCAAAACTGGATGCAGTTTTTCAAGTGTAGCCTTACCAAGGCATTATAAAGTGGTATTAACACTTCATGTGATCTTAATTCTATCCCTTTGCTAATGCAGCTTAGATCTGTGTTGGCTTTTTTGGCAGTTGCAGAGCACGGCTGGCTCTTAAAAGCCAGTTGAGTGACTTTGGCCCCGTCAATGTCAGCCCAGTCCACCTCACAGAGTTGTGGGGAAAATTGCTGCCAAAACTGCTGGATCTGGTCCTGGTAGTAATGTTAATGTTTCTGAAGCTTTTGGTATATAAGACATCAACATTTTAAGCCAACTTATTTGAAAAATTCAGGTGGCGAGGAGGAGTTTTCTTTAAATCCTGCCTTAAGACAGAACTTTCAACTCAGAGTTTCCTGGTGCTTTAACCATTAGATCAAAATGGTTGCCATTTCAGAATTATCATGGCTCAGTTCAAGTTATATGTGCCATTCATTAAGGTAAGTTTGGGTTTCGCATCCATAATGATAATCCATGCTTTGGGAGCCAAATGTGGCCCTTTTGTTATGGATATATCACCAGCTGGAAGGGTGAGATGGTTGGTTTCAACCCTCCTTGCAGAGGCACAAGGCAAGATTTAGGGTCAACTGATGGTGTATTCTGGTTCTAGTGGAATCCCAGGATATGCTAGAAGGGAAGTTACTGAACGACATTTCAACTGAAATCTTAGTGGAGGACTGGAATAATCTGACTCTTGACTGGTGGGCTCTTAAACACTCCTTCTTTGTTCGCCAAGTGCATGAGTTATCTTGATTTATTGAGAAAACATTGGAGATTAAGCATGCTAGGTGAACCGGGATGGGGTGGGGACTTTCTACTTTTCTTGACAGATAGAATATCAGGATGAACTGCCCATGCAGAGCAAGGACTAGAAGGGAAGGGGATTCCCACCACAGAGCACATGAGCTAATTGGAGCAGAAACATTGCTGACAATGGAATGAAGCATGGCAGACAGACTGCTTAGCACAGTAAGAGAATGCTATTTTAATGTGGAGCAAGAAAAGAAGGGTGGAGAGTAACCTTGCAGGGGTTGGATGCAAGTTGAGAATAATGTCGTACATCGTTTCGTGTTATTGCATAGGTTTGTTTTATGCACCTTAAACGAGTGCCAGAGTGCTTATTTGTCTTTCTACCATTGTTCTTCCTTTATATCCAGCCTTCTCTTAGTTGATACTTAAATAGCTTTAATATGTAAAATGTTCCTTTTCTTGCTAAGGTGACCTACATATTGGAGATAACAGTTCTTGAATGAAACCGATTTTCAGCATTGTTTCTCTTATTCTTCTTTTATTTTTCTTATATGTACCCATTTCATGTATTCACAACTATGTATACACTTATACTTATTATCTTGTAAACAATTGGCAAATCAAATAAATAAAATAAAATTTCTTTCACTCTGGCTTCAGGCTAAGTCATGGCACCAAAGTGATATGAGTTGCCTAGTGGACAATCTCCTAAGGAATCATGACAGGAATACCGTGTTCCTGTTTGTGCTACCAAATGTAGCACACGCAACTTTTTATACTATCAACCAAGTTAGAGCTGAGGGCATGACTTTGTCATAGTTCTGATCCTGTGTGAGGATAGGTTTTAGGAGATAGGAGAGGAAAATATTACTGTACTTGCAACTATATTTCACAAAGCCAGAAAAATGGCATAATTCAGTAAGATTGTTTTGTGAATACAGCCAACATGTCACACTCAATTTTTTTTATTTTGCAGATTTATGTTTATGCATTTTTATTATGCATTTGTTCATTTTTTTAGCTTTAGGTATATTCTAACTCATTATCTATTTCCAAGTGCCTGCCTGGTAGTAACAGGAGCATGGAAGCAGAATCCCACAAAAGTAGCAAAACCAACCAACGCTGTAGGTTGAGTGAGAACTTTCATTTGGGTTTAAGACATGATAAAGGAGGAATTCCATTTTTCTGTTTCGAACCAGTTCATTCAATAGCTATATATACTGCTCAAAAAAATAAAGGGAACACAAAAATAAGACATCCTAGATCTGAATGAATGAAATATTCTTTTTAATGTTCATTACATAGTTGAATGTGCTGACAACAAAATCACACAAAAATTATCAATGGAAATCAAATTTAGCAACCCATGGTCTGGATTTGGAGTTACATTCAAAATTAAAGTGGAAAAAAACACTACAGGCTGATCCAACTTTGATGTAATGTCCTTAAAACAAGTCAAAATGAGGCTCAGTAGTGTGTGTGGCCTCCACGTGCCTGTATGACCTCCCTACAATGCCTGGACATGCTCCTGATGAGGTGGCGGATGGTCTCCTGAGGGATCTCCTCCCACACCTGGACTAAAGCATCTCCCAACTCCTGGACAGTCTGTGGTGCAACATGGCGTTGGTGAATGGAGCGAGACATGATGTCCCAGATGTGCTCAATTGGATTCAGGTCTGGGGAATGGGTGGGCCAGTCCATAGCATCAATGCCTTCGTCTTGCAGGAACCGCTGACACACTCCAGCCACATGAGGTCCAGCATTGTCATGCATTAGGAGGAACCCAGGGCCAACCGCACCAGCATATGGTCTCACAAGGGGTCTGAGGATCTCATCTCGGTACCTAATGGCAGTCAGGCTACCTCTGGTGAGCACATGGAGGGCTGTGCGGCCCCCTAAAGAAATGCCACCCCACACCATTACTGACCCACTGCCAAACCGGTCATGCTGGAGGATGTTGCAGGCAGCAGAACGTTCTCCACGGCATCTCCAGACCCTGTCACATCTGTCACATGTGCTCAGTGTGAACCTGCTTTCATCTGTGAAGAGCACAGGGCGCCAGTGGCGAATTTGCCAATCTTGGTGTTCTCTGGCAAATGCCAAACGTCCTACACGGTGTTGGGCTGTAAGCACAACCCCCACCTGTGGATGTTGGGTGCTCATACCACCCTCATGGAGTCTGTTTCTGACCGTTTGAGCAGCCACATGCACATTTGTGGCCCGCTGGAGGTCATTTTGCAGGACTCTGGCAGTGTTGCTCCTGTCCCTCCTTGCACAAAGGCGGAGGTAGAGGTCCTGATGCTGGGTTGTTGCCCTCCTACGGTCTCCTCCACGTCTCCTGATGTACTGGCCTGTCTCCTGGTAGCGCCTCCATGCTCTGGACACTACGCTGACAGACACAGCAAACCTTCTTGCCACAGCTCGCATTGATGTGCCATCCTGGATGAGCTGCACTACCAGAGCCACTTGTGTGGGTTGTAGACTCCGTCTCATGCTACCACTAGAGTGAAAGCACCTCCAGGATTCAAAAGTGACCCAACCATCAGCCAGAAAGCATAGGAACTGAGAAGTGGTCTGTGGTCACCACCTGCAGAACCACTCCTTTATTGGGGATGTCTTGCTAACTGCCTATGCTTTCCACCTGTTGTCTATTCCATTTGCACAACAGCATGTGAAATTGATTGTCAATCAGTGTTGCTACCTAAGTGGACAGTTTGATTTCTTAGAAGTGTGGTTGACTTGGAGTTACATTGTGTTGTTTAAGTGTTCCCTTTATTTTTTTGAGCAGTGTATTTTTTCTTAGTTGATCTAACTCATTAATTCTATGCAGATTAAATATATTTTCACCAATTATACTTTTTAATCTGCCCAGCACCAGATTTGCAATACAGAAAGACCTTTAAATTTGTTTCTGGTAAATGATATTTTCTATTTAATTTGATATAATCTAGGTTGAGGGGAACCTAATAACTGTTGAACCTGGTCACTGAATGAATCAATTTTCTGAGTTTCTAGCCCAGTGCCTTAACCACTACACCAATTTTCTTGCACTATAAAGTGAGCTATTGAACCAAGCAGTTTGGTGTTCACAACACACTAAAGTAGAAAAGTTTAACCAAGATTAATGCAAGAATGATGTATAAATGAGTCTGTTGATCTTCTTGAATGGGCTGAGCATACAGTATTGGAACAGGGCCACTAGGTAGAAATCTGGTTTGAAGGCTGGATGCTATTTTTTCTCTAATCAGATGCTCTTTCTCAGCCAGAGAAACAACCATAATCTTCCATTAAGATCCCCATACATTTCTTTAGCATCTAGTCTGTCAACTTCTGTCTCTCTATTATAGATGGGACTCCATTCCTTTATCAGTTTTGAGTTTTCCAAGAAATCTGAGAACCATATCTATTTCAACTCTTGCATAGGAGAGCTGCAATGAGGAATGGATTGGACGTCTTTACCTTGTGTTTGCACAACACTGCAAACCTTAAAAAAGATCTCTTGCTGACCACCATTTTGTAACATGTTGTATTTAGCAAAATGAGTTTTGTTCAATAATTCACATCAAAAAACTTCACTTTGGCTTTATATTGTAAGTTTTTGAACAAATTAAAATTGGCCATTTTGGCTCTGAACAGCCCAGTAAGCCTCGAGCCTAATTAATCAATGAGGTGGAAGAGAGTCAAACAGCAGTGCATGAACATCCATTCAGACTTCTGGATAAATATAGATTCCAGTTTATTTATCCCATGTACCTACCCTGTATATCTATATAACTATTTTGATATATGTGGTTGAGCAGATTCAAAACCAGAGCTACTTTTAACTCTAAATGACCACTAGATGGGAGCAAAGAGATAGGGAAAAGTCTTAATAAAGTTTACCTATCTACTTACCTTTTACTACCACGTAGGGATTGAATTTTCCACTCTGTTCAAGACTGCATTGGCTTGGCAAACGAATGTTTTACTCAACAATGCAAAATGAAGATCACTAGGTGTTGCCCCAACACATGCAAAGAAAGACACATCTTGGAGATTAAGAAGTTCCCTGAGGATGGGCTCCAGGATGAGTCCAAAAACTTGAAAAGAACAAATCTCTGGGCCTGATGACTCAGATTGGATCCTGCAACATTATCCTGCGACACATGAGATTGCCTTCGTTTGCAAACAAAGTCAGTCTAGTGAGCAAGAAACAGGACAATGTTAGGGTTCATTGGTTTGGAACTTGTATTGAAGATTAATATTGAGCATTAATAGTATATGAACTATATAAAATAATGAGTTTCCTTATGTATGAGAAAATGTAAAGGCAGGATTCTAACTAAAGGTATCACAAGAAAAAATGAAATGTTCCATCTTCTTTCAAAAGAAATGTAATGCTTAATTTCTTAAGTGTTCTAATATTTTTCAAGTTAATTAACACGTTCCAATGATGTTATTTCTGGTCAGTTACAACATATCATTTCAACATGTATAAGTTGTGCTCTGGTATATATTGTGTCGTAATTGCATTTGCCTTGTTCTCCCAGTTTGGAGTCATTCTTTTGGAACACATTGTTATCCCTTTTAATTTTATTCAATAAACTTGTTATTCTCAGCAAACTCTCTCACTTTAAGGACTCCTCTGAATCCTATATCCATGGTTATATAAAATAGTGAGGGAATACCACTCCTTGTCACATCATGTATTGATAGGCTTTGCTCTAACAACTAGGTGAACACAGTGGAAACCAAGTGGATTATTCTACTAAGAAAATACTAAGGACAACAATACTAAGCAAGGCATGCATATACATAGTTCTTTTTAATATTCTACATACTGTTTTTCACTATGATTTCAGACTCAGTTACAGTGTGCATCCCTCTATAACCAATCTATCTTCTTTTCCCTTTTCTCAATATAAAGGCAATTACAGGCAGTCCTCGACTTAAAACAGTTCATTTAGTGACTGAAGTTACAATAGTATTGAAAAAAGTGACTTATGGTCACTTTTCAGATTAATGACTATTGCAGTATCCCCATGATCACATGATCAGAATTCAGGTGCTTGGCGACTGATTCATATTTATGACGGGTGCAATCTTCTGACAAGCTAAGTCAATGGGGAATCCAGATTCACTTAAACATGTTACTAACAGTGTTACTGCAGTGATTTACTTATTTGCAGCAAGAAAGATCATAAAGTGGTGCAAAATTCACTTAACAAATGTCTCAGGAACAGAAATTTTGGGTTCAATTGTGGTTGTAAGTCGAGGACTACCTTATATGAAATAGGTAAATTTATGTCTTGAGAAGGCAATCCACCATACTTCTCTGTAATGATTGCATTTGATGCAGCCAAAATATTTCTTCATCTAATGCAAACTGTACATAATAATACAATTGTTACAGACTATGGATTTTGGAATGCACATGTCATAAAATGCTTCCTCTCATATTATTACTTGTTATTTTTCTCAGTTCACAACTTAAACCTGTTTACCTATCTTAGTTTTAAATACTAGATTCAGCTAAAATTGGACTGGTGATTTTTATTGTATTGTGTTAGGAGAACCTAGAAGTTGTAATTGCATAATAGTGGAGTTAGATCATCACATTAAGCTATGTTTTATTTATTTAGACAGTGAATGTTTAATGAACACAGCAAATGTATTGTGTTAACTCATTTAGAGTTTAACAAGTTAAGACAAACCAGCCTATGTTTTGTTAATTTTGAATTACCTCCCTTTTTGTTAAATGGTGAATTCTTCACATTAGAATGCATTATTTCAGTAACACTATTCATTTCAGTACTATATATTGTCCCTGATCATAATGTAGAAATCCATTGGAAGATCTTGGTCATAACAGGTCTAAGGCCATTTCCTTCTCTCTCTCTCTACCTTACTGCAAAAAAAAAGAGTGGCAAATAAATGAGAGATTGTTTTCAACAATGCTCATTCCTTTATTGTCATGGCTGGGATTTGGTTGTGGTACTGCTCAGCACTCTTCAGGTCTACACCAAATCAAAGCAACATTACAGTGTATTGAAAAGCTATCCATTCCAAAACCAGAGGGAGTTGGGACACCAACCTCTTCTAGTACATCATGTGTAATATATTATGCATAATATGTCCGGTATAGTCATATGTATAGAGCAACAAGCATGGGCCACCGTACACCAATTTTTGACTGCCAAAGTAAATCACCACAGTAACAGGCACAATATTTTGGTCCCAGTAGAGGCTTCACCTTGCCAACCAACCAGTCCCTCCCCCCTTTTTCTTTAATCCCCTTTGGATTTTCCCCCCTCTCCAATCTCCTAAATAGAAATCCCATGATTTTCCCTGGGTGGGACACCCATACATACCCACACAACATACATACTCACCACATACATTCATATGTAAATACAGACTCTCTGACATACAAAGAACAAAGAACATCAGAAATCTACATCTGAGGTTGTTGCAGCAATGCAGCAGAGCTGTAGGAGTGTCCTAGCCCCACTGTAGAAGAGGAAGGGCTGCCACAGCTATCAGTAATTGGTTCTTGTCTTAAGTCTCAATATTTCTTTGCAATAGTTCTTGTGTTTTGTGCTAGGAAGTTATCTGAGGTTAATGGCAGCACAGCAGCAGATTGAGAAATAGGAGAGATCTTGAGACACTGAATATACAGCCAGATGTACAGTACATTGTCAAAAGTGTCATCCTTCCCCATATTTGTGTGCAGACAAGCTCACTGCTTCAAACTGCTAGATGTGGTTAACTGTCTAGTAATGACCCCAGATTTCTAGAGCCAACGTGATTATGTAGGAAAAACAACTGGCCTCAGCTTACCAGCATCCAATTTTAATTCTAGTTGGATGGGGAAAAAATTCTGGTCAGATGTCTTCCATTGTGAGAGCATCTTTTCACGTTCCTTTGCAATCAAGAAGGGCATATCTCTTTTATTTTCACAGGTCTTCAGTTCATATATATTTTATAGTCCATGGCAAATAACTTCCAGATGATGAAAAGGCCAGTTATATTAAATTCAAGTGTTATTAATTAGCTTAAGCCCACAAATAAATTGACCAGACTTCACGTGCCTCATTCTTCTTTCTGTATGTGAACATTGTGCTGTAAACTTAAAAGATGCATTTGGATGTGCTTGATCCTGATTCCAAGGTATTTAGAACTTAAGAGACTCCAGCAATCAAAGGCAAGGAGGCACTAAATAAGTGGATTCAAGCTTTTTTTTTTAACCTTTTGGTGAAGAAGGCATATTTGACTCCTTTAAAAGTTGGGGAGAAAAGAAACACATACTGTATTCTTATGGTCTGAGAACCAGGTTAGCTTCTAGCTAGATTCTTAACTACCATCCCTGAACATTTTTGTCGCCTTTGATCTTTAACAACATTCCTATACTAGCTCCCATGATTCATCAGCTACATGCATCATAAAAACGCATGGCAAGCAAACATAATAGGAATACCAATAGCTACTAAAAACAACCAGTCCAAAAGATGGAGAAGAACCTTAGGGTCAACAAAGTAAAAAGCAAATTGACACATGTATGCCAATTATGATAAAATTATATAATGTCTTGAAATGTGTTAGTTCTCATTACCACCTCTAGAAAGTATTTTCTATCTTGTTAATAGTAACTTGCTAGAAAATGTCATCTTGCCATTGGTACTATAGGTACCAAATTGACTGACATTAATCCATTGCTTGAATGGTATAATTTTTACATGGATAATACAAACTGAGCCCAACTTAATGATTTTGCAATAGCGATTGCCCTCAATTCTATACTTGCTTCATTTGAGATAATAGATAATGTAACAACGGTAAGAATTTGTGCTATTATGATTCTCTCAATGGTTGAAAGATAATGATTTGAACATTTTAATCCCAGAGGAAGCAAATTCCTAAATAAACCACTGAATCCTAGAACAAAAATATTCCTACAAGGATAAAGCAAGGTATATATACAAAGGACACCAAAATGTATGATTGGGGAGAATCATTTTGTCAGAAATCCCAAATGTTACATGCCTCAGTATATAAGCTATCATAGTTTGACTTCTGTCAACACTCTTGGATTTGCCCAGCTCTGTTCTGTAGATCTTTTGATGCCAGATATTTTCTTATCCTTCCTTCATTTCAGTACTCAGAACTCGGAGCACAGAGAGGTAAGACAGAACATTCAGGATCATTCATCAATCTCAAGACTTCCTTCTCTTTCCGTTCCTATTAAAGCCAATCAAATTACACTTTCTAAACTTATGTTTTCTGCAGTTCATAATGGCTTATATGGTTGGATTTGAGTAACTTTGGTTTATCCAAAATGTCAATACCAGGAAGCATGGTAGCTAAGATTACCAACAGGCATTCTTCTAAGCCAAGTGCAAAAGATAACTTAGGCAGAGAGAGATACTGGATATAAAGACTATTTTTCCCCAATATTTCTTCTTTGTCTGCTTAGAATCAGAAAATTCTTGTCACTACTAGGCTGGCTGCTCAATTAAACCTGCAATTGCCACTGAAATGACTTTGTGAATTAGAACATATTTCTGGATAAGATTATACTATTTCCTGTGCTCTGTCAAAAAAACTGGGAATTTTACTTCCCTTCCCCACTTTACATACAGTTTGTTTTCAAGTATAAAAATGTTCTTCCCAATTAAAGTACAGGTGACTCTTTGTCTTGGTAAGTTGATCAAGGTTTTTTTTAATTATTAGCCGCTTAAAGCTGTCTTGTCTTTTTCTCAACCAATGCAGAGAATGTTTCCCAAAGTCACAAAGATGCTTTAGTTAGCCCTCTCATAGTTCTGCTTGCATGTTCGATGTCCAGGCTGTTTCTCTGCAACATCTGCACGTGGAGTAGATGAAGAGGAATTGAACAGAAGATGAAATGAGACCTGTGCCCTTATTGCAAAAGCAAAAAGAAATCCATAGATTTTGATGAGATCAAGATCCTGCCCCTGAGACTCGCCTACTTTGCTCATCATCCTCACTGCATAGTATACTCTTCAAAGTTGACTATGATTTCCACAGTCCAGAAGAAACAGACAGAACCGCCACTGGAGCTAAGTATAGATTGTTCTCATTGCCCTCTAATCATTTTTCTCTTCTGAGTCTAAAACATACATGGAATGAAGAAAAAGCAAGCATTGTCTTCTATAAACATTGTGCACTGAGCATATTCCCCAACACTAACGGAAAGCCAGTAGCACTGCACCTTTCACCAACTGGAGTTGCTGCTCAGCTAGAAACCTGCATCATCACAAAGACACACCATAAATAAATATGTTAAATAAATAGAGTGATTGGGTGACAGATCCAGAGAATGCTGGGGATGTGGACCCCGAGGAGCCATCATCTCATACAGACACACACACACACACACACACACACACACACACACACAGAGTAGCTAAAGACAAAGATGAGTTAGTGCAGGGGACACCTCTCCCTGGACTATGTGTTCTCAGAGGCAATCAGTGGCAGAAAGAGCGCAGTATCTCATATCTGAAGGAAAGGGAGGGGCTCGAGGGATATTATTTGTGAGCCAGTGCTGTGGAAGGGTTCTGTGAGCTGGAGGACAGGGAGACTTGTGTTGCTGAAGACGGCAAGGTGCGAG